GCAGCAAGCACACCCTCGCTATGACATGACATGGACTATATTTGTCCAGGGGAGACCAGTGGGATTTGGAGACTTGGCCCAGGGAGCTGGCCGCTTGTGTGGCGGCCCTGGCCATCCTGCCAGGACCCAGGCAAGGGGGGGGGGGGGCAGGACAGGGCCCGGAGCCAGGGACAACATTTCATGAGTTCAGCTAATGCTGGGGCAGAGTTTTTGGCCACTCAGGTCTCCCGTCTTGGAGGGATGATTCTATACAGAAAAGATGGCCGTGTGTCTGGCTGCTGGACCCGAGCAGGGAGGACATCGAGGGTCTGTGCTGGCTGATATTTAGGACCAAGCCAAGCAGGAAGCCGTGATTGCAGGAAGAGTGGCGCTCCTGGGTGTGTGGCCTGAAGCCACTGGGGGAGTCAAATGACACAGGGTAGCTCCCAGAGTCAAGGACACTTACGTCGTGCAGCGGGTACGCGGCGGAGTAAACGCTGTTGGCAAGCAAGCTTGTGATGCCTTAAAAACAGAGACAGAGAGGAGGTCAGCGACTGGACATGTCCCCCATCCCACCAGCAGGGTCCCCGCTGGAAGACTCCACCACCAAGAGTTTTCTCAACGTGGAATCAAGCTGGCTGCCTTGTGGGGTCTCCTCCCGAGAGGCTGGGGTGCTAGGTTACGAATTAAAAGCTGATTAACATGCTTGATTGGCAGAATTAAAAAAGAAATTGAAGACACCCAGGGAGCCCAACCTGGAGGCAGGAGGTATGAGAAGGCCATGACCAGACTCCATCATCCCAAAGCTCCCGTCCTCCAGTGGGCCCCACCTGCCCCGGGCCAGGCCTGTGGGTGGAAAGTGTGACTCTCAGCGGTCAGAAAAGCTGAATCACCAGAAAGACACCGAGGGACACTGACAGTGGACGGAAGCACACATACAATTTGACATTAGGTTTTCATTTGATTGGCAGAGGCAGGAGGGGGGACCCCGTGGGCCCCCGGTGGGGCACAGGGGGAACTTACCATATTTACCACATTTTCGCCTTTTACTTAGAAGGGCTGAGTCCTTCTTTCTTCCCTCTCCTTTCCCTGTTTACACACCGACTGTTAGTGAAGGGCCTAGAAGACCCGAGCGGCACCTGGGGGCATCTTGGGGACCATGGGCCTGTGGTTAGACCCTCTGCCTTTCCCCCACTTTACGGGCCTCCTCAGACATATCACTGCTAGCCCAGCCCCAGAAGCAGGTGCCAGAAGGGCAAAGGCAGAGCTGGGGTGGGCGATGGGAAAGGGGTTCACAGGACCCTGATCTAGCTCCTTGGGTCCTGGTCACTGGGGAGTTCTGACTTAGCCTTTGTGGGTCACAAACCCTTTGCCTGGTCCAAGATTCTCAGAGCTGCCTGGCTGCCCTGCCCTCTGCAGTTTCCAGGGCAACAGATGGGAAGTTGACCTCCAGAAATACACTTAAATTGCTGGCCATCTCCTCGATCTACTGGGATCTCCTGGGGCTTAGGACCCCAGGGACGAGGTTTAAGAACTGAAAGGAGGGAGGGTCACGAGGCTAAGGCTACATGCAAGACTGGACAGGTTATGTGCAGTGAAAGGGGAAGTGGATCGAGGTGGACCGCCGGTTCCACCAAACAGCTTGCCGCTGCTACGTGTTGTTGAGTTGATTCCAACTCATCGCGGCCCAGTACAGGGTTTCCGAGGCAGTACATCTTTACTGGAGAGCAGGGCTCTTCAAAATTCAAATTCTGCTTCCCTGTTCTCAGAGTAAAACTTGGGGTTGCTAATGAAGGTTTGAGGCACCCATAACAGGCCCAGTCTTTCTTCCTGTCACCTCTCTGTTGGACTTACTGCTTTCTAGAGTAAGTCCTGCTCCGGCCTGCTACAGGATCTCTGTCTGGGAGGTTCATCCCTCATTCGGCCATCCCCCAGCTCAAATGCTACCTCACCACATCGAACTGTTTCCTGACCACTGTTTCTAAATCCCCTTGGCTCCCTGGCACCTTGGTCCTGCAACATTATCTTCTGGTCAGTTCCTGGATGGAACCGGGTTAGAAGATCAACCCCCTGAGGGTAGGGACCCCAAACCCAGGAGCCTGGCTGGGGAGGAGAATTCATCCATTTGCTACAAGTTTGATGAGTGACCTTGGAGGTCAATGGGGCTTTTAGACAAGGCCCCATGTGAAGTGGTGGCACAGAGAAGGACCCTAATTTGTGCCCCATCCATAGGCTCTAGGGACTAGAATGAGGGAGGGCACTCAGCTCCGCCAGAAAGCTTTTGGGACATATACACAGAAGACCCCAGGGACAATGTGAGGACAATCAGCCGGCCCAGCAGGCCCCAGGGCCCTGGACACTTGACGCATCTCTGAGTTTCCCTGGAAAGAATCCCTCAGGGATTAGTGGAGCAACAGAGGCCCAGGAAGGAAAGAGAGTATCCAAATTCTCTCAGTGATGAGATGAGAGTTGGGGCTAGAACCCACGTGCCCCCTGACCCCCAGTGACCTTTTCAATGTTTTCCCCTGGCAGCAGGAACCTAAAGAAACACTTTCAAAAGCCCCAGCTCCCCACACTTCCTGCCTTCTGCCTGGCATAGGGCCTGACCTGCGGAAGCTGAGGTGGGCCAGACTCACAGAGACAGTTTTCCTTGGCTTCCGTTGACCCTGGGGTGGGACCCTCTACTCCTGTTGGTTTGGGATGTGGACTTAGACATTTCAGGGGCTGGAAAGCAGACCATCAACCATAGTGTCAGGGGCCAAGCAGCTCAGTTCAGCACCGTACAGGTTAATGCCCTGCATCTTGGCCTGGCCCCAGGTATTAAACTGCCCATTCCTCTCTCCAGCCCCTCACATGCTGGGGCAGGGGCTCCTCTCCCATCCACAGATCTGGTTTTGTGCCCTTGAGCCAGAGCCCAGTGAGTCAGATGCTTCTAGAACATGCCACATGGTCACTGTTTTCAGCAGGTCATTAAATGGCCCCAGAAGAGAAAGCAATGGCACCAACTTGGCATCCTTTTGCTATGAAGTGTTTTTACTTTAGCCAAGTCAGTGCACTGTGTGGGGTAAGGGGTCCCATGTGGGCTGGGATGTCTTCCATCTAACAGCCACAAACGGGAGGGTCTTGTATCTGGGGCTCAAGATGTCAGGAAATATTGGTACCCAAGGGGCCCAGCTGGGATGGCTTTGTGAAGGGTCTGGAATCAGGATGGCGCCTGGCCGAGTGGACTAGGTGGAGGCTGTGTGGACCCCAAGGGAGGCGTCTTACTCTGTCTAAGCTTGATTGGTGTCTGGTTTAACCAATTGGGGGTACCCCAAATTGTGCCCCAGTGTGCCCCAAAGCTGTATGTAGAGCTTCTCCTCCTGGTCTGTGGGGGTCCAGAGAGGGCTAAGGCTCCTTGGTCACCCTCTCCTGGCCCGTTTCCAGTCACACTGACCACCCCCGGAGAGAGGTCCTCTCGCCAATGTGCACATTACTGTTGTTTCAGGGTGGTGGCCAGCTGGCCAGGTCATAAAACTACCCTGGGCCTTGGAACCTCTCTCCTTCCAGCTACCCAGCACCCCTTTATGAAAGTGTTACACAAACTTAGATCAAAACCCACTTAAAGTCTCCAAGCAGGCTGCTCACCCCCTGGATGGATGGTTGGGAGGCAGAATCATGGCTCAGAAGCTAACAGTGACATTAAGCCCCAGTGATGTCCTTACCCATGCTGTACTTGGCTTTGGTACACGTTGTCCTCTTCAAAATCTCATAGACCTATTGCACAGAGACAAGGAGAGAGGGGCGAGCAGTTATTTCTGGCACCTCCGGCAAAGCAAACCTGTTGTGTGGACGTTAAACCATGGGGAAGGTAGCTTCTGTGAGTTTCCAAAAGACAGACAGACTTTCCATAAGGAATGGCGGGATGGACAGAGGGCTCTCAAGAATGCCAAGGGTTTGACGTTTCTAGAGGTAAGTAGGAGCCCCTGCTGGTGCACATAGTGTATGGGCTCAGTAGCAAACTAAGAGGCTGGAGAGTCAAGCCCACCTACAGGCACCTTGGAAGAAAGATCTGGCAATCTACTTCTGAAAAATCAGTCTCAGAAAACTCTCCAGAATGCAGCTCTACTTGGATACATATCACAGAGCAACCTTGTTAGCAACAGTTTTCTGAATTTATCTTTTATTGTGAACTGAGTGATCGTTTACATGGGAGAACATCGGCATTACACCATTGTTTCATTGCAGTGATTACAATCTCCGCCATGCATCATCATTGACAGTATTTGCTTCCATTCCCTCTGTTTTTTGTTTTGTTTTTAGTAGCATAATTTTTCAAAAAAATATTTTTATTGTAAAAAAATATATAACATTTGCTAATTTGACATTTTTCACCTGTACAATTTAGAATATCAATTACACTTGATGGTACTGGGCAACCACTAGCCACAGGCAAGCAGCGATTTTTGTTTTTTAAATAGTGGTAACAGACCCTGCCTGAGGGAGCCAGCATTCATCGAGGACCCATCTGCATCTCCATTGAGGCCCCTCCAGCAAGAGCACCAAGGAACCAGCCAGCCGTTTCCACAGCAAAGAAGACTTTAAGAACTGTTTAACCCTTAGAGAACTGGTTAAACTCCAGAGACTTTCTGCTGCTTTGCCTGTCGGGTGGGGGGAATGGGGAGTTAATAGATGTTACTGACTTTGCAAAAAAAAAAAAAAAAAATAGTGGTAACAGGAAAAGTCACATCTTTTATTTTAATGGTGAATGATAAAAATCTATGCTCTGTGAAGCAGGGACTGGCGCTCAGGAGTAATACAAACACAAACAAAAACCCTGTTGTTGAGTTAATGCCGACTTACAGCCATCCTACAGGGCAGAGCCGAGCTTCCCCATTGGATTTCCAAAGCTGTCCATCTCTACGGAAGTAGTCTGCACATCTTTCTCCCTCGGAGTGGCTGGTGGGCTCAATTCATTGACTTTTACACGTAGCCACCGCACACCCCTAATAACTAACTGCCCCGTATCTCCTGCGTCCTGGTGTGGTGCTGTGGGATCAGCACTAGACTGCTAACCACAAGGTCAGTGGTCCTAAGCCACCAGCTGCTCCTCATAAACCCCATACAGGGTCTCTCTGAGTTGGAACTGATTCTACAGCACCACCAACAAGAAGAGGACATAAGGACTCCTGGTGTGGCACTGCAGGATAAGCCATGGACTGCTAACAGCAAGGTCGGCGGTTCAAACCCACCAGCCACTCCTGGGAACCAACTCAATGGCATTTAACAATAACAATAACCATTTTAAGGTTGGTGGTTCAAACCCACCACTCACTCCTCGGACACCCTATACAGGGTCACTATGAGCTAGAACCAACTCGACGGCACTTAACAACAACATGTCCTGTGTCCCACCTTCCTTCTGTGGAGCAGCTGGGTGGGCTTGAACTGCCAACCTTTAGGTGAGCAGTTGTGAATACACTGCCTGTGGCATCCAGGGTAAGAAAACCCTGTAGAGCTCAGTTCTAACTGTAACACTGGAATCGATTCGAGGTCAGGGGGGTTTGATTTTTTATCTATTAAGATGAGATGAACGAGAAGCCCCATTAATGATAAAAGCAACAATACAACTGGCTACACAATGCTCCATCCATCCCACTGTCTTGTGGGGGGCTCAGCTTGGGTTGTAAAGACCACCATAGTCTTGACAGAAGTTCAGTGACTCTCCCAAGACCAATAAACAGGTGGTGGTGGTGGTGGGGTAGTAGGCAGGGCCTGAGACTAGATCTGCCTGCACTCAGTGTGGCCAAGTCTTCCCTGCCCCGGGCATCTGCCAGTTTCTGTGACAATTACTTGGACAGGTCAACCAGGCTTCTCTGCCTGCAGCCCAGCCCCCGAGCCGGGTTGAGACGAAGGGGGAGGTTAAGTACAACAGTAACAGCCTGGCTGTCGGCCGCTTGCTTATTTAGATAGGAGCTGGTTCTGAGCCACGCATAGCCTAGGCTGGCTGGTAGACAGTTGGCAGCTGAAGGATAAACAGGGAGCCAGGACCTTGAGCAAGGCAGGGTGGCATGTCTGATTGCCAGCCTCAGTTTGCTTGTCTGGCAAAGAACTATACCTAGATCTCAATTCTGCATGCTCATCACTGACGCTCAGGGGCCTGTTCAGAGACTTCTGAGGTGCAGGGACCTGGGGGTTTCAAAGTACAAAGTCCTGTAATGGTGAACAGCAGGAGAGAAATGAAGGTCTGACACACGCTACCACATAGATGGAAGAA